TCAAGCCTGTATTACTTTAGATAGCCAAACATCCTCATCTTAAATGCGACACACATAAAAAAAATTTCAAAGAAACTTCCACAGGGAACTGTAATACTTTTTACAAAACTTCTGGCTTCCTCTTGCGTCGGTTTTTGTTGAGTCGAAGCTGCTTATAGACGGATGACTGATTCCCACATTGATGACAGGTAAAGACCTTTTTATGGATTTCTATAGACTCTCGGATTTTTGGATTAAATTTTTATCGAGTGATTGTGTTCGACAACTGCTAGTAAGTTTATTTGTCTTAGCCTTTCAAACAAGATTCATGACAAGGCTTTAAATTTTCGTTTCTCTCCTACCCAAAATCATATTCAGAAATTTGAAAAACTAACGTCAATCCTAGTGAAACCATGAAACTCTCCTAACTACCAAACACTGCATGTATCATCGCACCAACTTTCGGAAACGGAAAAATCAGTTCATTCAAAAGGTCCCAACTTTGTCCTTGCCCCACGCATTACTTAAAAAGAGGAAATCATTTGAAATGTCGAGTCTATCCTAAACAAACAGCTAATGAAATTCGATTTAACTCTTAATTATAATTTTGCGAAGCCTGAACGCCTTGCACTAAAATCTCTAAAATCCGACATTGTATATATAAATATAAAGTCAAAACCAGATTTACCACTTGTCCAAAAATCTCTCAACATCTTCGATCCGTCAAAGGCAAAATTCCATTTGAGATGCCAGGAGTTTACGGCATTCCATGCATATGCGGCAGCGAATGAATATATTGGAGAGACCGGACGAAAAATATCAACTAGGCTCAAAGAACATGAAAGAACCTTAAGACTACGACAAATAAACTCATCGGCAGTTGCTGAACACAATCACGAAGCCGGACATAAAATTTTGTTCGATAAAACTACAATTTTTGCATGTAATCAATTCTTCTACCAGTTTCAGTCAAGCTCTGAAGACGTCAGCAGGATGATTGGCGAAACCTTAGCAAGTTAGAATCAACAAAAACCGACACGAAAAATATGAATCAAATATATATTACAATATTCAGAGATAGATCCATATTGTGGTCGAAACGTCGCATAAAATATAAAAAAATTAAAGAATTTTGATATTATTGAAAATCCTCAACCCAGAAACTACTCAAGCAATCTATCTAAACGCCTACATTGATGACCTGACTGCCGAGGAAAGATCCGATGCAAAAAATAATAACAGCAGGCTCTAATCTCAATTCCAGCCATCTTTTGACGTCTCTTTCATGTCACCGCGCCGCACCGAAACATCGACATGAAAGGAGCGGAAACTTTACGAGTTTTTGTTTAGCCCTTTCGAAAAAAGAAAGCGAAGGCGAACAGCTTGAATTGCGGTGGGGAAACATCCCGTTCTGCGGTTTGTCAGTTGCGAGGGCTGGTTTTCTTTACAAAACAATTTTATGTCTGGCACTAGAGTTTAACTAACTAACTAAAAAAAATGAAACTAAACTCACAATTAAGAACGAATACGAAATACATTAACTACTGTTTCCATATTAATATTTATGCAACCAAGTATACGCGAGCGGATAATTGGTTGCATACGCCAGTTTTATAATGCCGAGTAATAGAAAATTAAAACTCTTTCCTTATACCACGACTTCAAAGTACATGGTGATCCGATCTCTGAAGTTACAAAATTCATTTGACAACTACGTTAAAGTTGCAGCATTCAAAATGTCAATAAACGGCTCTCTGCGAGAACGGTTTTTTTCTCAAATATCAAACTTTAATGAAAAAAATTATACAATTCAAATCGGAAACTGCCGTTTCCATGCTGGTAAATTTTGTGTAAAAATGATTAGATCTCTGAGTACAATAGTATGCATGCAAACAACAATAAGCAAGTCTATAATTGGTTGCATATTCCCATAAAGCTGAATAATAGAGGACTGTGGAAAGTTGAAACCATTTCTACATATAATTTGAAGAGTACAGGAGAAAAAAGATGAAGGTGCAAAAAACTACTCTAGAACATGGTAAATAAAATTAGGATTTTGGAATATAATTATTGCTAACTTGAACTAAAATACTTTTTGACAGAATATACAAATAGAATATATAAATTCCAATACAAAAAAAAACTTGGCAATAAAGATGAAGGTCCATAATCGATTATTGTAATCTTATCAATGTGGTATTGTTGTGAAAAATGCAGCGGTTTTTGAGAACAGAATCGTTTTAGATACCGTAGGTCTTGCAATTTAGCTTTAGATACAGGTATTGCCCATCATAAGCTAAAGTTGGGAGCAAAAAGCACTCTTCAGGTAGCAAAAGTCTTTCTTTATTGTTTTATCATACGAGGGTGATTTTCGCTTTTTTGCTCGGGAATCCCTTAACACTACATTCCATTCTTGAGGCAGTTCAACGTACGTCTTCTGTTTCACTAAACCCATATTTCTATCGCATTCTAGATGCGAATGTCCACGAACAGGATGATGTGATGTGAAAATAAATGTCGTTATTATACATGTAGCTTGGGATTGTTGCTTTTGTGTCACATGAGGAAGGGGTTTTAGTCAACTGTCTACTGTGATAACTTGCATTGTCCATTACAATGACGCTATTAGGAGGAATGTTTGGAACTAGTTTGTTTTTAAACCAACTTTCAAATAAATGAGCGGTGGTATCTTCATGGTAATCCAGAGAAGAATCTTTAATATTTTTCACAGACACAGAAAGTCCATTTGGAATCTAACCATCTTTAGAGCCAGCATGCAAAATAGTTATTCTTTTACCTCTTTTTGATGGCGCGTTTGTTTTACACTTATCAGTTGAGTCAACCAACCCAATTTTTTTAAAATCTAAATCTCATGTATTGAATACACTTCCATAAGGTAGTTCTGCGACATTTAACACCGGTTCTTTCAAGCCTCCTAATTAAGATATCTAATGTAGGCACGCTTTGTTCCTTGCATAACTGGTAAATTTTACGCCGTATTATATCTTGATCACTTTCATCTACACTCGAGAAAATGTCAGCATCGCTTCTTTTTTTCCTCGCTGAAATGGGATTATTCACAATTCTCCACACAGTTGATGTTGGAATTCTCGTCAATGTGGCCATTTCTTCTAAAGATGCTTTCTTGCTGGCACCACGTTCAATGAGAGTCAAATAAACATTGTTTATAACTTCCTTAGTCTCAATAGAATAGTGTTTTCTACATTTGTGCGGGAGCATCTCCCGAGATACACTAGACTCGCACATATTTTGCATAATTCGCACACGATTCAACACAAGCTGTATTATACGCGAAATAAGAATGATTACTAATAAACTTAAACTAAGTAGTATATCAAACTAAAGAATATTAAACACAGGTAGGTATAAAATTATTTTCTATTACGGACCACAATTTTACCTGAATTCAAATTCCGAAACTTTAGGGAATAATCTTGTTGCATTGTATGTTAATGACCACCCATGGATACTCCCATTCAAAAGCAATTGATCACTTTCTTATATCTATGAACAGACTATACCTTCATTTTTAATGACCACATTTTAAGTTGTGTTTATCCTTATACTGTCATCTTTCTAGCCATTTCTTATAGGTAATAGTATTCCATAGCCGATATATTATACGAAATAACTGTTAGCGTTATTTGGCAAAAAAATGGGCCCTCTTTTTTCCCCTGGACTCCTCTTTGTCATGAAAATAATATTCAATTTTCTTTTTTTAAGTACAGGGTGGTTCGTTTATTTTCTCATAATCTTAAGCAAACAGTATGGGTGATGCTGATCTATCAGTTTGGAAGATTGCATTTTTGAATGGTAAAAAATGAAAAGTTTGTGGTTTTCGTTAGCTCGTGTTGGTGTTCAATCTAAATTCAAATCGGGTTTACTCTGGTGGATGTTTTCTGAAGGCGATGCAACAAAGTCTTGGCAAGATAATTCAATAAAAAGTGTGAGAAGACCATTGGACCTTCATGGGAGGCGACTGGTAGTGAAAAAAGATTTGTCGATTACTATGGCGATATGAATAGCGAGATATTTATTAGGTGGTTAAAATTATGGATGATGCACAACATTTTTTGAAATTAAGGTTGGGGGAAGGGTCAAATCTTGGTTTATAAAAAGTTGAATAACCTTTTTTTTGGTTAAACTTGGTTTAGTATTAAAGAGTATTTAAAATCAATTAAAAAAAATAAATTGTCCTTCGTATCTTCGTATACATTTTTGTTGTTGTGCTTTTTGTTTAAATATAACTAAACTAAGCCTAAGATTAGCTAATTTGTGTTAAAGAATAACATCCAAAAATATTCATGAAAACTAAGGATCTGCTCACGTGACTAGATAAACTTTACCTTTAATCCAAACTTATTTAGTACAGAACGCAATAAAATCACGAAATATAATGAAACTAAAAAAAATTAAAATAAATATTAACCTTAACCTAAACCTTACCCACTAACCCTCATAACCTATATATATAAATTAAGAATAATACAGGTCCAAGGACGGAACCTTGTGGTACACCTGATGAAACAGGGAGAAATTCAGAAATTACATAGTCAAGGGTAATTCTCCGATATCTGTCAGCTAAGTAGTTTTCAAAAAATCGTTTTATGATCAAGCCGATTAAAGGCTTTAGAGTAATCTAAAGATGTAATAATTATATTCTGTGATAACGTATGATCTGTTTTTGACTAGGATCTGCTCGAAGTCAAGAGGAAAATCCAATTATTTGTCTAGGAAATAGGGGTTATAAGTTCATATCTGAATTTTTAAGGTGGAATTCGGCACAATGAGAGGCGAAAAAGCAGATTTTCACTGCAACATAATCGAAATCAGCAACTATTTGACCAAGAAAGAATGGTTTCACAACAAATATCGTACCTAAAACTGCAGATATCAGCTTAAACAATCATTTTTTGATCCAAACACTGGCCACCCGTCCACAACACTTGACCCAGCATCTGGGGTTGACATAGTTATTTGACACGTAAAAGTTACAAAGCACCTTTCTAGGCTGCCAGCTTTCTAAATGTCAAAAAAGGCGCAGTGGTACACCCCGGTTGCCCGATTGAAGAATAGGGAGCAAGTATGGGAAATAATAGAAAGAAAAGGATGGGTAAGTTCATATCAAGACATTTGCACCCTTGCTTTAAAAGTGACACAACTCAAAAAAAACGAATTTTCCAGAAAATATAAAAAAACTGTTTCTTAATAAATATCCCACATAGGATATAAGTTAACATATATACTAAGGGTATACTGTAATAGGGATATCCTCTGAATGGATAGCTTGCGGATTTACTGTACACGATATACCACAGATATCCTCAGGCTATCTATTTAGAGGATAATAGATAGCCTGAGGATATCCTCTTGCATCATAAGGAAAAAAGTGAGAAACCGTAAAACAAAATGAAACCTAAAAAGTTAAATTTCAAGCAACTGAGAAGGAAAATAGTTTTTTTAGATTTGTGGTGTTTTGGGAGACATTTTATTGGCAACGTTTTTGTGCACATCTACATCGACGTCAGTGCTGACAAGTACTAAAGAAACCGGAATCAAACTGTTAAAATCAACTTGTTTTTATTATTTCTGGACGAACGAGGCAAGAAACGCTATTTTATTAAAAATAGCACAGAAAATGCATTCATCTAAGTAAAAAAATTACAAAATCGTAAAAATAATATATTTGTGTATAAGATTCCATTTAACAACACCGTTCGGCTGCAACTAATGACGCAACTACTCGCGGTCGTGCCGTGCCGGACTCGCTCGTGTCTCATCGGCTTCTCCTGCATCTCGTCGTCCGCCATCTTTTCAGACTTGTTTTTGTTGGCGGTGTAAGGTATACGGCGACTTGGCGTCCATTTTGCATATTTTGTGTGCTGTGCTTACCGTTTTCAGTGCTTTCATTTCAGTTATCTTTTATGATATTATTATTACTGAAGAACTAATAATTCATGTAAGTAACGCTTTATGATAATATACAACATAAAATTTGATAAATTCTAAGCTGAACGAACCAACAACATGCCTTGTTTTTTTATTATTTTGCTAGGTCAATGAGGTAGCAATATCAGGCGGCGGCAGTAGTTATGAGTTTGTAAAACAAGCTATGATCCCGCTGATTTCGAAGGAAGTTGGAATGAATAATTATCGATTGACTTGTTGAGCATAAAGAAAAAGGACAAATTTTTACAATTACAATTGGCCAAATTAATACTTGGTAAGTACGTATTATGTTATTTAAAAATAAATAGGACGTAAATGAAATAAATAAAGTATAAGGAATATAATTTAATAAAATATATATTATGGTGATTGCTTAGTTGATACTTTTTTGAGGAGCGATTGCTGGACCGAGTTAAGATAACCTACAGATTACATTTTTTTATTCTAGATTTGTTTTCGTATTTTATTGTTTAGTTTTTGAAAACAAAAATAAAATCCACTTCCTCTTCATATTTTTTGAGCAGTTAAATTTAGGCATACAAAACTAAAGTAATTTTTTACTTAAGTATTGTTAGAGAAAATCCGCCAGAACAAAATTATATTTTTAGATATATAGTATAGTTAGTTAATTTTTTTCTTAAAATGGATGCAAGAATCACCCCCCCAAAAACAAAGTATTAATTTTAGGAATCAACCTTCATAAAGTACAATTTTGCACATTAAAATGGTTGTTGGGTTAATTAATGAAAACGTTTTTAAGGCTTGTCTTCATGGTGTTAGTAGGTACCATCACGAGCAAAAAAAAGAAAAATTTTTGGTTGACAAAAAATATGGCATTAAAATAGGCCTTTGCTGTCAAACTGAAAAGTCATATTTGATCTAGTTTTTTTTACGCACCTACAACCTACTCTCATGAAAGAGGGTCTTACCGATGAGAGTTTAATCCTAATAATACCTACATCATCGTGGAGATTAGCATCAAAGACCACTTTTATGAGAGTACTATTAGCGCCAAAACAAGCCTTTACTTGAAGGGCGGAAGTAGGGATTTTTTAAACATACATGATATCAGTCTCCTTCTTTTTATATTTTTTTAAGTATATATATATACATATATATAAAACATCAGATCAGATCAGAGGGCAAACACATAACAAACATCAAAAGAATGTGAGAATTCAATAGCTGCTTGGCTGAAAAGAGCTACTTTCATCAAACAATAACAGAAAAACCTGTCAAATATTAGTTATTCTTTTACACTACATTTAAGATACTTTAGGTTAGGTTGTTCGATATATTTGCTATATTATATACCCACAATTTTTTTGATATCTACAGTAGAAAAAAATCCGATGTGTATAAAATGTGTTTTATTAATGGTATTAATCTTGTGCATTTCACATATCGCGATATCGCCTGCTATTCCAGTGATGACTTCACCAACCATACCCAATAGGTTAATTTAGTCACACCCGAGTACCAAATACTGGGACATAATTTTTGTAGTCGTACAACCAATTGGACTACTGTATATTACCTTTCCAGTATTTCTCATATGCTGTTGGAAATAACCTAATAATTAAGTAAGGTCCACTGGTATATCTATATAAGATCCTGTATCCTCACAGTCAAATATACTAACGACGTCTGAACTAGTATTACTTAGTATGTCCTAACAAACATCCTACGGACATACATATCTGATATACTGTGAACGTTCCAATTCTATTTGGGATGCAGTTTTATAAACAACTTAAAGACGAAATAAGAGTAGAATTTCTTCTTCAATATAAATAAATAAAACTCATCATCAGAAACTCGCAAAGTGTCAAAAAGTGGTAAAAACAATATGTCAGCTTTAAAATGTATTTCATTAAAATGGCTAAAGTTTTGGCCTAAAACCTGATTCTGCACTAATTCGGTGGATAGGCCACAAAAGCCGTGTGGCGACTTTTTTAATTTAGCTAGTTCAAAAATGCACAGGTATTTCAAAGCATTTTGTGTGTCACTGACAAAACAACAAAACAAAAAACAATTATTAAAAAATTAGTCAAATTTGAGTAAAAAATAAACATAATCATCGTAAAATCAAGAATTTGTACTTGCCTTTTCTTCTAAACTGACACAATTAAAAATATTGTAAATAAAATTTGAACAATATTTCATCAAAACTGTTGTAACTCTAAATAATCTCAAATTGATTTTCACGCTTTATCGTAAAAAAACGACACAATTACGCGAACATTCCTGCCAAAATCGGAAATAAAATAATAATAGGGTGATTTGATCTTTAAAAATGACACTTGCGACATCTAGCGGACAACCGTCAAAGTTAACTAAGTGCGATTTTGTTGAGAAAGAAATTGTTTTTTTTTTTCACCATTGGGTGTCACTTTTAAGGTAAGGGTGCGGTATATGTCTCATTTTGCCAATTCTTCTGCGTTGTTAAAAATTCGGATCGCCAAGTATCGGTATTTCCAGAAAAGCGAAAAGGTGAATACGGAAAAAGAAATTTCGTATTTCGACGCGGCTCCGCGCTATACACATTTGTTGGAATATGATCGTTATTTCGCGTTCACAAAAGCATTTCCGTTGTGGGATCCGAGGAAACCGAAGGATAATAGAAAGTATTTGCCTACCGTACGGGAAAACATATTTGAACAAGTAAGCGTTTTGACTGAAAGGTCGGTAGCGGATAAAATTATCGATTGACTTCCATATAGGTAAATTTCGATAATGTGCATCGTTAGATTTGGGCATCAATTTGCTTAACACACGATTACGATTTTGTTTAATTTTCAAAACACAAAATTACATTGTATGCCAAAATTATATATGGAAGATGTGAAAAACGGCAATCATGGCTAATTTGATTTTTGAAACAATATATGTTTCAAATCATGAGAAAAAATGCAACCGATGGACACATTCAAATCAACGGTATTCAATTTAACAAAAGACCTGTCAAAAGTTAACGAAAATATTTTAATTTTATATTTTTGATTGCAGAACCGGAAGGTTTAGGAAAAATGCTCAAACGTAGGATGAATATTAACAAAGTTATCCATTTGATAATGTATAGGGAGGGCCGTTTATCCTGGGACTACTACCTTATCTCAGAAAATATAGGGGATGGAGCCAAAAGTTAATTGACTTATTACAAGCCGTTTATCTATTTTAATTTTGTATATACAGGGTGTTTAATTGCTTGTGGGCGAGTATCAACTTTCGCATTTTGTATATAATGGCCTATACCTAAATTTAACCATTTTTGACATTTTAAATTTTTTATGTGAAAGTGAAGAACACTTAGTAAATATGGCGAGCATGGCGAGTAAGCGAAAAATTTTATCTTTAAATGATAAAGTTGCTTTAATTCTGGAGATAGAACGGGGAGAAGAGAAAAGTGATGTTGGATGTCGATACGTTCTTACACCGTCGACTGTATCCACGATTTGGAAGTGCAAAGGAAAAATCATTCATGCTGAAGCGGCAGGCAGTTATAGTAAAAAACTAAGAAAGCGAAAATTTGAAGATTTGGATCGGACAATGTTGCAGTGGTTACAACAGCAACGTCTTAAGAATGTACCACAGTCTGGACCTATCGTAAAACTAAAAGCAGAAAAGTATGCTGAACAGCTTAGCATTATCGATTTTAAGGCTTCGGAATGATGGTTGAGGAAGTTCAAACAGACACGGTATAAATAAGTGGCGACGCCCGTAATGTCGACAGTAACGTCACTAATAATTGGTTGGAGAAGACGTGCCCAAAACTAGCAGAAAAGTACCATGCTGACGGCATTTTGACTGCTGACGAAACTGGTATTTTTTACAAAATGACGCCAGACAAAACTCTTAAATTTCGAAGCGAAAAGTGTGTGGGTGGAAAACTTCCTAAAGAACGTATAACAGTGTTAGTAGTTGCCAATGTGAGTGGGAGAGAAAAAAGGAAGCTAGTCGTGATTGGAAAATCAACTAACCCACTGTGTTTTAAGAACATCAAGCATTTTCCGGTCACTTACTAGGCCACACATGGCCAACATACGGCCCGCGTAATGAATTTATGCGAGTAATTTTTAAATATTTACGTTTGCCTGACACTTATATAGTATTAATCAAGTAAATTAAAAATATTTCTGGTTTTTCATATGAATTAAACTTTTCGTGCTTATTTGTTATCTGTAAACACACTACAAACTCTATAATCCATGTATTTGAAGTTGAACAGTACGCCAGTTCATTCGATGCTTTCCGTAAGTAGCAAACTTGTTAGTAATAACTTGGTCGCTTGGAAGTTCGTGTTTCCCTGGCAGACACTTGGTGTAACCCTGGCAGACGCGTGCGCGGCCCGGGGTAAGCCTTATTTCTACTAGAAATAAGGTCCACCGAACCTGCGCGTCCCCCCGCTAGGGTTATAAATATCTTAAAATATCTCTAGTAGCCGGTTGTTTTCAGGCTTTAGTGCTCGCTACCACCCAGTGCAGTTTACGTCATCGGCTGTGCGTTATTTGTATTATATTATATATATTAACTTTTTAATTTATTTATTAATTAATAAAGTATGTTACGTAATTTCTGTTTATAAAAAAAAAATTATATTAAGAAATATTTTCATCCCTAGGATGGCTTCTAAAAAACGAAACGTTGATACAGAGTGTCGAAATTTTAATGATGATTGGAAATGGAAATATTTTTTTACGGTAGTTAAAGAGAAAGCTGTGTGTCTCATTTGTAACTCTAGTGTGGCAGTTTTTAAAGAATACAATTTAAAAAGACATTTTGAAAGGAAACATGAGAATTATGCAAACAATTTAAACGAAGAAGACCGAAAAAAACATTTCGAAGATTTAGCCACAAAATTGTCTCGTCAACAAAATATATTTGTAAAACAAAATCGCTTGCAAGATTCGGCGACGGAAGCAAGTTTTTTAATAGCTAAACGTATTGCTGAATGCGGAAAACCTTTTTCTGAAGGAGAATTTTTAAAGAAATGCATGTTGGATGTTTGTTATGTCCAGAATTTAAAAATAAATTCGAAAATATAAGCCTATCTAGGCAAACTATTGCCAGAAGAGCAGAAGCTTTAAATGTGGATATAACTAACCAATTATTATATAATATAGAGTCAGCCAATTTTTATGCAATAGCTCTGGACGAAAGTTGCGATGTAAAAGATACTGCACAATTGTTAATTTTTATCAGAGCTATAAATGATGATTTTAAAATCTTGGAGGAAGTTTTAGAAATTGTTCCAGTGAAAGATACAACAACGGGCGAAGATCTGTTCCAGGAAATTGAAAAGTGTTTTTTAAAGTACCATATTGACTGGAAAAAATTGGTGAATGTTACAACAGACGGAGCACCAAACATGAAAAAATATTGGAGTAATTAAACGCATTGAAGATAAAATTTTCGAAATCGATACACTGCATTATTCATCAACATGTCCTATGTAAAAATGTTTTAAAAATCGATCATGTTACCAAAATAGTTGTAAAATTAGTAAATTTCTTAAGAGCCAAAGGATTAAATCATAGGCAATTCATTGATTTCCTTGAAGAACTTAATACCACATATTCCGATGTAATATACTACAATAAAATCCGTTGGTTGAGCTTGGGAAAGGTATTAAAGCGTGTGTGGGAGCTTCAAGAGGAAATACGAATTTTTTTAGTGCTCAAAGAAAATGAGGAGTTTCCTGAATTAACGGATCCAGATTGGCTTGGTGATTTGGCTTTCTCTCTAGACATCCTCACATATTTAAACGAATTCAACACAAGTTTACAAGGAAAAAAAATATATGCTTATGATTTAATGCAGAAATTAAAAGCTTTTAAAATGAAACTTCTACTTTTTTCCACAAATCTTGCTGAAAGCAAATTTGATCATTTCCCATCCTTAAAGACCAGTTCCGCAATAATTTTAAAAGAAAAAGCTCAAATGTATACTGAAAATATTCTGGCATTACGACTATATATATATATATATATATATATATATATATATATATATATATATATATATATATATATATATATATATATATATATATATATATATATATATATATATATATATATATATATATATATATATATATATATATATATATATATATATATATATATATATATATATATATATATATATATATATATATATATATATATATATATATATATATATATATATATATATATATATATATAAATTTTATAATTATTATATATTATATATAGGTATTTGTTACATTATTTATATTTTCATAATAAAAATTTTTGTATTTTTTACGCCTGGCCCGCGAAAAAAAATTTTTTTTCAATCCGGCCCGTGACAAAAAACTGTTGGCCAAACAAATCTGCATGGATGACATCGCAAATTTCTGAAATGGGATGCAGAATTATAGGGGAGAAAAATATTACTTCTCTCAGATAACTGCCCTGCACATCCCCATATTCCAAACCTAAGGAATATTGAATTGGCATTCCTTCCAACCCAAAAAAACAAGTGTATTACAGCCGATGGACCAGAGCGTAATGATAAAAAGTCTTAAGAGTCGATACAGGAAAGACATTTTAATGGTAATGGTCGAGTCCGAAGACAAATTTTCCATGAATATACTAGATGCAGTCAACTTTATTAGTAAAGCTTGGAAAGAGGTGAAAATACAAGCTAAAGTATGAGATGCGTATTGGCATATTAAAAAAATTCAAAAGAAAATGACTGATTATTTGAAACATTAAATGTAGTTCTTAAATATTTATATAAAATGTGCCTTATAACTCTTTATAACGAGAAAAAAGCAGTCCCTTCAATTTCGCTATATAGAGTTTCGACTGTATTTCCTTTTAAACATCTGTCTATTACAAATATTTGCTGGTGGTGATGGTGAATATTTTATTAACGAACGAACGAACGAATGGGTTTCTAAATACACAATAACATTTCTTACCGATTCAGTACTATTTAAATACCTTCTCTTATTTATCCTACGTTTAAGTTCCTCCGCAGTTGGCGGTTTTCGTTTGTAAACTAAATCTTCAAGCGTATCCCATAAAAAAAAAATCTAGGCGAGTTATGTCGAAGCTCCTTGGCGGCCAGGCGTGCCAATTTCTTGACTTGTGTGATAAGGAGCGCCATTCTGCTTCCAAATTAAGTTTCGTCGTTCCCTTCCAGGCACTTCATTTTCAAGAAAGGGATGGATAATATTTAGAAAAAATACTGGACCTAGTATTCTGGACCTGCAAATGGCGCATCATACTTTGGCAGAGGTTCTAACTGATTTTGTAACTTCCATATCTTTTTGTTATTCTGGGTGCTCGAGTAATGGGTATTTTATATATATATTTTTTTTAATTTTAATATTATTAGCAAATATGTTTTCTGAAAAGTGTGTCTCCATAAGAAATTTCGTTATATAATCTCTAAGAACCAGGGTCCGGTTTATACACTTCGATATATAAGTTTCTAACATATCAAATTTTTTCCTCTGTGGTAAACAGGATACGCAAACAAGCAAATAAATTAAATTTATAAACGGTAAGTAAATAAATCAATGATGTGTCAAAAATATTTGAATTATGACAGTAATCAACAAAAAAACCTTATATTAAGTGAACTCATATGGCACCAGCATAATATTTGTGATGGACAGATGTTTAAAAAAAAATATTTCAAAAAGTAAAAATATTTGGCATATACAACGTTATATAAAATCGCCTGCATTTTTAATGCTAAATGTGACAAGATTATAAAAATAGGTAATTTCCATTTAAAAAAAAGTTATTTTTGACGTTTTTTTAATTTTATTTGTATTAAAATGTATCGAAATTTGTTATGAAATCCGTTATTCAAATCCTTTGTCAACAACAAAACTTACCTAAGTGAAACAATGAATGCTTTCGTCATTTTTCGCAGAAAAAAAATAGTAATATCAAACATGGTTAGATTTTGGTATAGGACGTTATACACAAAATATGTCTAGAATTTTGTACAGAATTCAAAAATGAATATACCAAGTGTTCTATTTAAAATAAAAAAGTTGATACTCATCCACGAAAAATGAAACATCCTGTAAACACAACATAACAAAAAATAAATTGAAGGCTCCATCCCCTCTAGTTTCTGAGATAAGGCAGTGTCCCAAGATAAATAAAGTAAATTTTTCCTATAACCGTAATTTTATAATTGAAATGAAGATATTCGATTTGATCGAATTGATTGATTAGTTTTATTCGAAAATTTCAGGAAAATATTAAGTAATTAGTTAAAAATTTGTATTTTAATTACTAGTAAAATAATTAATAATCAATTTTCTGAAATTCTCGGATAATCTAAAACGCGCGTATCGAGAGTGTTCGAGTCGATTTCAGGAAAAGGATAAACATGTACCGGTGCTGACGTCACTCAATTACGGGAGGCCAACCCTGATTCCGTACGACGAAGTTGAGGGCGCTCTTAAAAGATCACACGCCACGTCAGATTTCTATAGGAAACGTGGAGTTTTCGACGCCGAAGAATACCCAGCGGGGAAATGCTAATTTGTTCAACCCGCGCCTTACATTATATCGATCTGAACATCAGAATTAAATGTTACCTTTTATTCGCCTCGTCTATCGTAAATCCGCCCAATCGCATCCCTTAAGACGCACCCCGGGATTACCGGCGATTTTCAATTATCAAAGGTTTTGGTTATTAAAACTCTCGAGAGGTTGTTATTATACACTGGTCAGCAAAATTAAAGCACCACCGAATTATTAAATTATATTTCGAAATTCGTATGAAAACGAACACATTCCGAATTAGTTATACAGGGTGGCCCATCTAAGATGTTCCTGTATCGTATTTTAATAAGTACGACGCTGCGCAAAGAATGGTGTATTTATGTGTTTGAGAACAATGAACTTTTTCCATTCTTTTGCGGAAAAACAGGTTTTTGGACAAACATCTTCTTTGTTATATATTTTTTTAATGAAACCTGTAACCCAGCGTTGAATTTAAGATATAATTTTTAATAATTTCATATATGCAGCTTTTATTACAGGCTCGTGTATTTTAATTTACTTCTAACTAAGTCTATATAATATCAATTTACAAAACTTCCGGATTCCTACTGCGAAACTACATAATATCCTATTCTACATTTCTTTTTAAACATTAATTAGTTAAATTCAATATAAAACCAACAAGTGAAGCAAGTAAATAGCGCTTACTACTCTAATTGCACGTTGTTCAAATGTGATTTACAGTTTACTTTGTTCTGTCATACACAGTTTGTAAAACTTGTGAATAGATGGCGCTTCTTAAGACAAATTGGCAACAGCGCCAAGAACTATTTTTTGGGTATACGTTAGTAAGGTCGAACGAGGACCTTTACTTTATGTAATGTAAAACCCTTCAAAAAGTTTAGAATAAAAACATTTCGAAACCGTAATAAGAGTTATTCGTGAGACTAGTGCCCAAAAGATTTTGAAAGTGTAGAAATTATGCCAACAGGACGTTCAAACAAGACTTTTATTGTTTCCTTATGATGGACCACTATTATTTACCGATGTAGAAAATGTTTTGTAATTAGTAATAAATTCTATTCACGTGCATTGTCGATTTTATATTCAAGTAATTAATATTTCGAATGAAGACTTGGTCAGAATATATTAATTTAGTTATATTTAAAATAAATGCAAAAGATGTTAAAGTTACATTTTTGCATTTAATTTTTTTTCTAACTTTTCAAATAATGCCCAATTTTTAGATGGTTGAAATACATTTATTTCCTTTTTACGAGTAACTGGGCGCCTTTGGCACGTTGAGTGTCCCTTTTAGTCCCGTTCACCGATTATAGTTAATTACAGTCACTCATACGTGGTAAAATCTCTGCAAACAAATTTTCAAAAGACAATCTTCACAAGATATTGCGAAAATAATATTTAAATATATAAATAGTTTTGGGAAATATTAAATATAAAAATTAAAATAATCTATTATATAACGGAGTTTCCACTAAATTTTTTAGTATAATTCACTAGCAGTTAACGCTAATGTGCTTGTTCATTGATTCGATATTTTGAAAGGAACGTTGGCGAATAGAAATAATATCAAACTTAACTAGGGGTGAAAGATCAGCAGAGTATTGCAGTTGCCTAGACTAAAGCTACCTCAGTAAAAAATTTAGAATATCGTATCCGCGATAACGCTAAAAGTCCAAAACAACAAAACTTCAACTAACTAAGTTCATGCTGGACAAGCATCCTGTGCCAGTTGAGTTTTTGCGCATTATATTCCATGAGTGAGAAACTCATTTACGAGAATCTCGTCGATTCTTAAACGCATGCTGGAAAAGGAAATGTAATATGGACAGTATTTTAATCGATCGTACACAAAAAAGGCTACAGAGAACGGCATAATCGGAAGAATCTTGCAAATCTATCGAACGGAACAACATTAAACAACAAAAGGGTAGGCAACAGTTATCCAAATTCTCTACTGACCTTATCACTATTCTCTATTATCACACTGACTGAAGCCGACTGAAAAAAAAAAGAAAAACATTGTTTAATACAAGGCAACTCAAATTAAGGTTCAATAACGTCCATTTGGTGTGGAATTACATTATCATTATCTACAAAACAATTAGGGAGGAAAGAACCAACCATGTCCAGTTTTTTATTTAAAAAAAAAAAGAAGTAGAAGTTTCATACAAAGACGTCTTGGACTCTCCTGAAGATATAAAATATTATAATTTTGTTGATACAGGGTGTGCCAAAACTGTCCCCTCCGACTTCAACTTTGTTATTTTAAATGAAACGCCCTGCATATATTGACATTTTATGAAATTCCTATTCCTACTTTAGGCACTCTACGTTAAATTACATAATAATAAATGTTATTATTAATTGTAGTTTAATTGTTGAAACTAGTAAAGAATTTAAAAATTATTTATAACGTTGAATTTATACCTAATTTAAATTTATTATAATACGCGTGTATCACCGCACTCATTGAAATTATATAAAAATTTCCTATTTTTGCTAATTCGTCAAAAACGAGTGTACTAAATATATAATATACAGGGTGTTCTATTTAAAAAATATGATATAGGTTTACATGTCAGAAAATTGATAGCGTTTTTATTTATACGTCACTTGGAAAAAAACCTGGCTACTAACCCTACATTTTCTTTGTTTGTTTATATCTCTAAAAACAAAAAAGTTACAGCCAATGAAAATGTTAACAAGATAAATTAAACGCACGGTACCTTCATTCTTCATAAAATCGAGAACTTCTATTGAGTGAAGTTGCTATTAATATTATATCGGAAGTTAAATTTAAATATGCATTATGCATCTGCCTTGCAAAACCGATCACCAATAAACGTAGTTTTTAACTATTATCAAACGTTCTAAATGATGTTCTTTGATTTTGCAAAGACAAGACACTTTTCTGCAAATTCATATTCCCTGACAACCCTCGTAATAAAAATTTAATTGGTACACTGCAGAACCTCCGAATAATTCATAGGACATAATTTATTTATGCAATTTAATACTTGGGCATAGGATAACGTACAATTCAGTATCAGTTAGAACGAGACGCCTCTAGCGGTAACTTCAGAAAGATCGAATGGAAGGCAACCCTCCGTAGCTATGACCTTTGCTTTGCCCAGCGTGAACAACACATAAAACTCGCCGTTATATAATAGCTAACTAAAAATAGATCCAGCCTAGGGTTTGCATGTTTACGACAGTTCTCTCCTTAATTTATATTTAATGACATTTCTATCGTGAAATGCACCGAGAGATATATACCTATCAAAGGCCAGATACGTATCTTTTAAAAGAACAAGCTTTCGATGGCATTGAATTTTCGTTTGGGAACGCGCCCTTCAACCTTCAGTACAAAATAATGTTTTTTAAAATAAATGAAAATAAAATAAAATAATTTATTGCCCAACAACGAAGGAGTTTTGAACTGAGGTGGCTTTTACTCGATGAAAATCCATTTATCAAATAAGGATTAAAAGTTCAGATTTTCTCGAAATTATATATTTTTATATGAAGATTGTTTCGACAACACCGTGTCTTTATCAAATGTAATATTTACAAACTACCGGTTACTACATATACCGAAAAATGATCATAAAACCTTAATTAACGATGTTGTGAGAATTTAAGTTCAATAATGGAGAGGTATTTAAATCTAATTGAACGCTCAGCAATACATTTGAATGTCTCATTTTGTTAATCTCTCTACTTTTTGTGGCTGTATGCAAAATATCAAGATTGTCGTCAAAAATATGTTTTTCTGTGTTTAAGTGTGTAGCATAATTAGAATCTAAACTATTGTTTTTAAACGCTCTTTTATGTTCGTTAATGCGTTTCTTGAAGGATCTACCTGTTTGTCCAATATAAATTTTAGGACAAGATCCATTTCAACCTGTAGATTTTGAACATTTTGTTTTGTTTTTTTTTAAAAATTTTCATATTGTGTTGTTAGTTCTGAAAGCTATTTTTAAACCACATTTTGACAAATGTTTTGAATCTTTTTCACTGGGTTCACCTATGTGTGTCTGTGTCCGTGTGAAAATTGAAAATTGAAAAATCTAATTTGTTTTGCGCTTTCGTAATAGTTAAGTCTAAAAAATTAATAGAGTTATCCTGTTCAATCTCGATAGTGAATTTTATACGATTATGTAATGAGTTAATGTAATTTAATTTCGTGAAAATCTGAACTTCTAGTCCTTATTTATTTTGAAGGAGTTTTGTTTTCACAATGATAGGGAACGCACAGATCATTTCTATGTCTGGCATCATACATACTGAAAATTGGAATTGTTTTTTTTTTTGCACTAATGAAAATTCAAGTCGGAGTTATTAGTTTCTTTTTTTTTAAATAGTGGCTTACAGTGATCCTTGTTCTGTGCACAACACAAAGTTCGAACAATCTTTTTTGAATCCTAAAGATTCTATATGCCTCTGAAGAGTCTCCCCACAACAATATGCTAAATGATATCACTTTACTGAAGTTACTAAAATTTTTATTTTCATTCAATTTAAGACGATTCGAACGAAACCACTCTTCTGCATCAACAGTCGCCTGAGTACCTGCAGATACTACGTCAGTTAAGGTTGCACCCAAATTAAGTATTGTTGTGTTATCTGCATATAAAGACACTATAATTGGACCCAATATTGAGCCTTGTGGCACCCCAAGCGAAACAAATTGTGGTTCAGAAACATCACCGTTAGGTGACGTAACGATTTATTCTCCGTTGTTAAGGTAAGATTTAAAAAATTTCAAACGTAACATTCAAATTCAACTCATGGCTGACGCAATCAAAAGCCTTCGAAAGATCCAGCAAGGTCATACAGGAAATAAGGTTACGATCAATAGCTTCCAAAACCTTTTCCAGAATCGCTATAATTGCTTTCAATGTTGATTTGCCCGAAAAGTACCCAATCAATTGGTGGCTTTAGCAAAGCCACGAAGATTTTGGCAACTACGGGCAGGACAGCAATCTCACTATTGGTGAACCAAAAATGTTTATTCTTCCTATTAAATACA